GCTTCTAGTGCCAACCCTACAGGAATAAGGGTGAGAATTACTATAGAATGAAGAAAGAGATCATTGCTAAGTATGAAAGTGGAGTGCGTGTCTCCGAGCTGGCCAGGTTTATAGTAAACCCCAATCAACAAACGCTACTATTGTGTCCAACAAAACGGCAATCAAGGAAGCTGTTTCTTGCCAAAGGTTCAACTGTGTTTTCGAAAAAAGAGATCGCAAGTGATAAAGAAAGTTGAGAGACTCTTTTTGGTGTGGATAAATGAAAAACAGATAGCATCTCTCAAGTGATCATAAGTGAAAAGGCTAGGAAGTTGCATGAGGATTTAATTAAAAAAATGCCTGCAACTAAATTTATGATGTGAGTGAATTTAAGGCCAGCAAAAGGGTTTGGGTTTGAGAGATTTTAAAAAGCGTAGTGGCATAAAATAGTGTGATAAGGCATGGTGAGGCTGCCAGTTCGGACCACAAAGCAGCTGAAAAATATGGTCAGGAATTCAAAGGGTTACATAAACAGTGAAGGAAATGGAACCCGAACAAGTGTTTAATTGCGATGAAACAGGCCTGTTTTGGAAGAAAATGCCAAGCAGGACCTACATTACTCAGGAGGAAAAGGCACTCCCAGGACATAAGCCTATGAAAGACAGGCTTACTCTTCTCATGTGTTCCAATGCTTGTGGTGATTGCAAAGTGAAGCCTTTATTAGTGTATAAATCTCTCAAACTCCCAGAGCAATCAGGCAAAAGAATATCCTCAAGGCTAATTTGTGTGTGCTGTGGAGGGCAAACAGTAAGGCATGGGCCACTAGGGACTTTTTCTATGACTGGTTACACCAAGCATTTGCTCTCAATGTGAAAAATTACCAAACTGAAAAGAAATTAGACCTTAAGTGCCTCCTGGTGTTAGACAATGCTCCTGGTCATCCTACAGACGTGGCAGAGCGACTTTTTGGGGACATGAGCTTCATTAAGGTGAAGTTTTTGCCTCCTAATACCACTCCTCTCCTGCAGCCCATGGACCAGCAGGTTATTGCAAACTTCAAAAAACTGTACACAAAAGCTCTGTTTGAAAGGTGTTTTGTAGTGACCTCAGAAACTCAATTGACTCTAAGGAGTTTTGGAGAGAGCACTTTAATATCCTCAATTGTGTAAACCTATAGGTAAGGTTTTTGGGGGGAGTGACAAAGAGGACCTTGAACTCTGCTTGGAAGAAACTGTGGCCAGAATGTGTAGACAAAAAGGATTTTGAAGGGTTTGAGGCTAACCCTGGGAATCCTATGCCAGTTGAGGAATCCATTGTGGCTTTGGGGAAAGTCCTTGGGGTTGGAGGTTAGTGGGGATGATGTGGAAGATTTTGGTGGAGGAGGACAATGAAGAACTAACCATGATGAGCTGCTAGATCATCTTCATCAGCATGGGGCCCAGACCTGAGGAAACTGCTTCGGAGGAGGGGAGAGAGGAATTGAAGAAGTTGCCTACTTCAAAGATTAAGGAAATGTGTGCAGTGTGGTTTAAAGTGAAAACCCTTTTTTGATGACAATCACCCTAACACAGCTATTGAAAGCCGTGCTGGTAAACTATTACACTGACAATGTTGTGAACCACTTTAGGAAAGTCCCTAAGGAACGGGAGGTACAGGCCTCTATGGACAGATATGTGTAAAACAAAAAAGGGCCAATACCCTGAAAATGGTCCTAATGCAATAAAAGAAGAAGAGGAGTTTAGGTTAAAACCCTTTTTGGAAAAGGACTATTGTGGGGCAACCCCAAGTCCCTTATTGGGGGAAAGGGGATTTCCCCCTCTAAACACTAAGACTCTCCTCCCCCCATCCCATCAATCATCACCAGATCTTCAATAAAAGTAAGTGTCATGTAACTGTGCATGTCTTTTTCAGTTTGTGTGTATTAAAATTAATATTTCATGTGGGAAAAAAAAATTTTTTTCATACTTTTGGGTGTCTTGCACGGATTAATTTGATTTCCATTTTTCTTATGGGGAAAATTCATTCGCATAACGATAATTTCGCATAACAATGAGCTCTCAGGAACTGATTAATATCGTTATGCGGGGGGTCCACTGTACTTGGGAGTTGACGTGTCGGCGGATGGATTTATGAAGGATGAGGTTAATCATAGAATTGATGAGGGAAAAAAGGCGAGTTGGGGCGTTGAGGTATATGTGGAGTCAAAAAGTTATCTATGGAGGCAAAGAAGGGAATGTATGAAGTATAGTAGTACCAACACTCTTATATGGGGGTGAGCTTGGGTGGTAAATGCATGCAGCGAGGAGACGGTTGGAGGCAGTGGAGATGTCCTGTTTAAGGGTAATGTGTGGTGTAAAAAATTATGCAGAAAATTCGAAAAGTGTGGAAATTTGGAAAAGGTGTGGGTTAATAAAAGTATTAGTCAGAGGGCAGAAAAAGGGTTTTTGAGGTGGTTTGGTCATTAGAGAGAATGGATCAAAGTAGAATGACATGGAAAGCATATAAAAACTATAGGGGAAGGAAGGCGGGGTAGGGGTCGTCCTCAAAAGGGTTGGAGAGAGGGGGTAAAGGAGGTTTTGTGGGCGAGGGGCTTGGATTTCCAGAAAGCATGCGTTAGTGGGTTAGATAGGAGTGAATGAAGACGAATGGTACTTGGGACCTGACGATCTGTTGGAGTGTGAGCAGGGTAATATTTAGTGAAGGGATTCAGGGAAACCGGTTATTTTCATACAGTCGGACTTGAGTCCTGGAAATGGGAAGTACAATGCCTGCACTTTAAAGGAGGGGTTTGGGATATTGGCAAACCCCTAAACTGTTGTATTCTGAGCACCTCTGCAAAAACAGTGAAAATGTGTGAGTGTGGTGAAAGTGTTGAATGATGAAAGTATTTTCTTTTTGGGGATTTTCTTTCTTTTTTGGGTCACCCTGCCTCGGTGGGAGACGGCCGACTTGTTGAAAAAAAAAATAAATAAATAAATGGAAGACAGGAATAAATAAAGGGGATGTAAATAACATGCTAAAAATATCTAGCCTAGACAGGACTCACAGCAATGACTAAGCTGGAAAAATTCTGACTCAGGAAGGATATAGGAAAGCACTGGTTTGGTAATAGAGTTGTAGATGAATGTAACAAGTTCCTGAGTAGTTATAGAAGCCTGAGTAGTTAGAGGCCTACCAGCATTCTCTCTAGTGAGAGAAAGCTGGTAGGCCTACATATGAAAGAATGGGTATATGTGGTCAGTGTGCGCAGTATAAAAAAAATCCTGCAGCACACAGTGCGTAATGAGAAAAAAAAAACTTTGACCGTGTTTTTGGATTAAAACAGCGACTTTGCACTGTATTTTCATATGGTATTTATTGTTGTATTCTAGTTTTCCTGGTCTCATTTTATAGAATGGAAGACATATTACAGAAATTGAAATGATTTTTGACTGGTTTTACAATGATTAGTACCCTGAAATTGAGCTCAAAGTAGCAGAAATGTTCGATTTTTACCGAAGTTCAAAAGTAAACAAATCATGCTAAGCGTCCAATAACGTCAACTGGTGAGTCTACTATTCTTTCACAAGTGCGCCGATATTATTTATACCATTTCTACACTAATGCAGTAGTCTGCATAACAGTAAATCTTCTATTTTTTTGTGAGAATAAAAATTCAAAGTGAAAAGCAAAAGAAATGTAAGAGGGGCCTGGGGACGTGACTAATGAACAGAAGAAATGTTATTTCAGTGCCAGGAATATCTTTCTTGTTTATTCTGGACCCTATTTGGAAATTGGCATCTTTTGAAATTTGTGTGAAATTGGCAAAATTGCTAAATTCTGACCACTTTATTGGATAGTTGAAATCGGTAAATTGGTGGTTTCTTGTGCTCATTCGATAGATAAAATGGAGTTCTAGCAAAATAATTATGATTTTTGTCGAGTAGTACACTGGAATTGGCCGAAAATAGGGCTCAAAGTGGGCAAAATCGCTGATGCGTAAACACCATCGAGACCGCTAACTTCACGAGAGCATAATTCCGTAAGTTTTCCATCAAATTTCATAGTTTTGGTGTCATTATGATCGGGAAAAGATTCTTTATCTTTTCATAAGAAAACATAATTTTTTTTTTTTTAAATTTGGGCAACCCTGAGAACAAGTCTGGGAGAGGGCCTGGAGACCCTAAAAGGGTTAAAGATAGGTTAGATAAATGCATGAGTGGGTGCGGGTGGGTGTGAGTTGGACCTGACTAGCTTGTGCTACTAGGTCAGATGCCATGCTCCTTCCTTAAGTGAATGTGACCTGACCTGACTAGGTTGGGGCACTGGCTTAAGCCGGTAGGAGACTTGGACCTGCTTCGCATGGGCCAGTAGGCCTGCTGCAGTGTTCCTTCTTTCTTATGTTCTCTCTATTCTCTGCATAAAATTCATAACACACAATCAACATATCTCCACTACCAACAGTATCCTCCATACCACTACATCTGAAGACTCTCTCTCACACTCATACAAATATGTTGGCACCACAATAATGTTCTTTAATACATTCCTCTATTCTACCTACATTAAATTTTTGTTTGTTTTTGTTTTTAGATTTCTCACTAATGAACAGTCTTTCCCTCATCTATGCCATTGCTCACATGGTTTTCAGACTCATTTGCCAATATAATCTCTGGTAATATATCCAATGGCAAGAGAGTAACTAAATGAATGATGGTGAAACTTTCCTTCTTTGGGTCACCCTGCCTGGCAGTAGACAGATGTTGAGAATTTTTTATTATTATTTTTAGTGTACATCCACCTCAGTATTTCTTCCCTCCAACCTGGTGTACAATCTTTCAGTGCCTAGACTTCATCTTACTTATCACTTTGCCTTTTTAGGGGGCTTTTATACCTTTTTTTTTTATACCTTTCCAGATTCATCGAACTTCTGTAGCTGCTTTTTTTTCTAAATGAGTGCATGATAATTTAAAGAAGGTATGACACAATTACAATGAAGTAAAATAAATAACATAATTAACCAAATATACTGCTATACTTACTTTGCTGATACTGTTTCACTTCTCTTTCTCTCTTCATTCTCTCCTCCTCCAGGGCCTCCATACTTCCCCATACTTGAAAGGCTCTTTAATGAAAACATAAATTTTCTTACTAAATATTTATTATTACTGTATTATTATGTGACACACACTAAGTAACTTAGGTATTAATAATCTCTCGATGAAGTACAGTATTGTAAATGATTGACACAACACAGTCACAAAGTAAACATGTACAGTGGAACCTCAAATTTCGAATGTATCGCTTATCGAGCTCTTCGAAAATCGACCGCTTTTTTCAAACCAACTTTGTCCCTATTATCAAACTCGCCCCTATTTTCAAACCGCCGGGTGTTGGACCTGTCCGCCAGCCTGCTCTGTCTGCGTCCCCGTGCAGGTGCCGTGAGCCAGTCTGGCTTTGTTGATGCTTGAGTGAACACTAACCTGCGGTCTCATTCAAACATTTTACGATTAATTCATTGTGTTTAGTGCTTGTGGGACTGTGAAATAAGCTAACATGGGCCCAAAGAAACTTGCTAGTGGTACCCCTGTGGTAAAGAAAGTGAGAAACACCATAGATGTGAAGAAAGAAATAATACAGAAGTATGTTGTAAGTTGTTGCTGGTGTGGATCAAGGATAAAGAGATGGCAGGTGATATTGTTCCAGAGACAATTATTTGTGAAAAGGCAAGGAAGTTGCATGCCAATTCAAAGATTAAGGAGATTTGCTCCAAGTGGAATGATGTCCAAATGTTTGTGCAGAAGTACCACCCTGAGCAAGCTGAAACAAGCCATCTTTGCAACAAGTTCAGTGATAGAACCATGTCCCATTTTAGGGAAATCTTAAAGAGGTGCCAGAAACAGAAGACTGTGGACAGTTATTTTGTGAGACAGGGGTCCAGTGAGTCTCAAGCTGGTCCTAGTGGCATTAAAAGACAGAGAAGGGAAGTAACCACAGAGAGGGCTTTGATACCTAAAGTCCTTATGGAGGGGGATTACCCTTCTAAACACTAACCCCAACTCCCTCTCTCCTCTCTATCAATAAAGGTAATAAAAATGTTGTTTTATATCTTTATTTAAATTTATTACTAATTGTACACTATATCTGTTGTGTGTATGTAAAAGTATAATGTAATACTGCATTGAAAATTGGGTTGGGCAAATGTTTTGTTAGTGGGATAAATTGTAAAGGACCTGCCTAGCATGGGCCAACAGGCCTGCTGCAGTGTTCCTCCTTTCTTATGTTCTTGTAAAATGTATATTTTTTGTGAATATTTTTGGGTTTCTGGAACGGATTAATTGTATTTCTATTATTTCTTATGGGAAATATTCCTTGGCCTTTCAAACTTTTCGAATTTAAAACTAGCTCCTGGAAAGGATTAAGTTTGAAATTTGAGGTTCCACTGTACAGTGGAACCTTGACTTACGAGTTCAATCCATTCCAGGAGCTAGCTCATAACTCAATTTGCTCGTACATCAAAATAATTTTCCTCATTTAACCCTTTCAGGGTTGGTGCTGTACTACTACGGCTAGCGCGCCAGGGTTGGTGCCGTACTGGTACGCGTAAATTCTAGCGGCTTCAAATTAAGCGGGAAACAGCTAGTAGGCCTAGATGTGAGAGAATGGGTCTGAGTGGTCAGTGTGCGCAGTAGGAAAAAATTCTGGGACCCAGTGACGCATTGTGGGAACGTCATTTTAGTACACCTTGCTCACCATGCCTCGTGGTAAGAAACTCCTCACTCCTCGGCGAACTGGACACTTTTTTTCCCCAGTGATAGTTCTAATACAGATGGAAGTGCCAGTGAAGATGAGTTTCAAGGTTTTGATAAGGTTGTGACTGAAAGTAATGACCATAATACCGGTAATAGTGAGGAAAACCCAGACGACCCTCAACCTTCCACTTCTGGTGTTGGGCAGTCTTGTTCACGTTCAGTTGCACCAGAACGAAAGAGGAAACTCTTATTTTCCCATATCCAGGACTCGGATGTGAGCAATGGTGAAAATATGATAGTGAATATGAACTATAACTTTAAAAAACATTCCAGTAGCAATAGTGAATGAAAAATTCTCCGGGAAAGTGTCATATATACACTATATACCTCTGGATGTGCCATATCTTTTCCAAGGGAAAAAAAACTTGAGTACATTCCCTGGCTTACAGCAGGAAAAATAGTGAAAAAATGAAGATTAGTGTTAAAAGGGGAGGGAAAAAGGTGCATGCATCTGGGGGGTAGTGGTGGTCCCCAGCGTGAGGCACCAGCAGTGGCCATGCTGCCACCCCCGCTGCATCACTGATCTACAACAAAGGCACCACCCCCCACCCAACCCCCCCCCACACCACCCTCCACCCAAACCCCAAACCAAAACCTCCACAACCACCTTCAATATCCGTACCCATCAGCAGACCGCCCCGGGGTTTGGCAGAAGCTGCCAATTTTGCCCCAATCCCCATCAGTTTGATGAAAGCCAAAGGGGAAATAGGGCCCATCTTTACATTTGGGGGAACAATGCCACTGAACGGAATGTTTCGAGTTATTCTTTGCCCAACCGTTTATGGAAATTATTGCGGGGGAAAGCAACGGGTACTTTGAGACACCTGGAAACACAATACTTTCACCAATCTCACCCTACACCATGGAAGGAGAAAAATGAGCTGAGATTATCTTTATTTCCACAATAATGCTTTTTTGCCACATGTGTAAAAGCACATGTGAAATCATACTGGCCGCCAGACTCCTGATTGCAACCCCCAGGTTTCAGTGTATAATGGGAGTGAATAAATTTGTCTATTTTTTTCCTATTTTCACTTCTCAACAAAACCAGGCCTGACAGAAACAACGGGTTATATAAGCTTAGGAATGCGTTTGTATACTGAAAGAAAAAATCAATATGTATTTTTACCCCCGGGAAGCTTGTTATGATAGTCTTTGATTCTGTTCAAAGAAACCTCATTAAGCAGTACATCCCAAACAAGGGGAAAAAGCTTTATTTTAAAGTTGTTTGTGCTTTGTGTTGCTACATTTCTTCTAGGGGATATAATTGGACCGGGAAAGAATACACTGTGTGTACCGGAAGTTACTGGTACTCTGGTGATGTGGTTAAACAAAGTGGAACCATATCTTGTAAGGGACATATATTATTACTGAAACTGGTACGCAAAACTTTTTCTCAGGATTTCTTGCGATGAACGTGAGTGTGTGGCACAGTGCATCAAATAGTAAACATACCCGGTTTTAGCTGGCACCTAAGGGGAGGGGCGGTTCGCTGCCAAAGCACAAGGCATTTTGGTGGCATAAATGGAATGTCACATGTTGTCATCAGTTCAAACCCCAACGAAAGGCAGACACTGCAGGCAGCATAGAGAGAGCAAAGAACCCTTTTTAAAACCTGCAGCGTGTTTGGCTAAAATCCTCAATATGCATTCAGTGGACAAAATTTTTGCAGATTGGGGTTTTCTGATTTTGTTCACAAAAGTTAAAGTGGTACATAAAACTCTTTTTCCCTATTCTGGACATTTCCATGCCCAGGCTTTTAAAATGAAAAATGAGGACCAAAACAAAACCCCCATTGGCGAATTTTGTTTTTCTTTTTTCAACAAATATAAAATACCAGGAGCAACCCTCAAAAGAAAAATGCCCCGAAATTACAACAACACCCTTCCGTCTGAAGCAGGGATCACTTCCAACAAACGCCGCTACTGCTTTCAAGAGAAAGGCCAAAGAGGTTTACGTGGTCACATACAAAAAACGCCCACAAAAACGAAGAGACACTCGTTTTATGTGTGAGGAGTATAAAACACCATTGTGCATGACACCATGTTTCAAAGACTTCCACAGGCTGCAGAACTTCTAGATTGTGATTGTATATGTGTATATAAAACAAAAAATAGTAATAAACAAAAATTTTATATTATTCATTTTTGGGAAAAAAGTTTTGAAAAAAATATAGTACAAAAAGGTTTGTGCAGTTATTGTGTAGTAAAGAAAGAGAAAAAACTTACAAAATAGTGCTCATATTGGTCTCACAGACCATAAAAGTTACTTGGAGGAAAAAAAAAAGATTACCGGGTGACCAGCAGTCGGGCAGTCGGTATTGTTGCCCTATGCCGGTCATTTTCTGTCAACTCCACGCCTCCATATCTCGGTAAGTATTGATGGCAAAAACTTCTTGTTTAGCCTATAATCTTTTCATAAGAATTTTTTTTTTTTCCGACCCTGAGAACAGGTTTGGGAGAGGGCCTGCCGACCCTGAAAGGGTTAAATTAACCCTTTGACTGTTTTTGGCGAATTTTTACTCTTATGAGCCACCGTTTTGACGTATAATACAATTATACTCTAAATTCTAGCGGCTTCAAATCAGCAGGAAAAGCGGTAGGCCCACAGTGAGAAATAGGTCTGTGTGGCCCGTGTGCACCATAAAAAAAAAAATCCTGCAGAAAGCAGTGCATAAAAAAAAAAAAAACTTGTTTTTTTTTAATAAAATGCCGACTTTTATCTATTTTCGTATAGATTTAGTTTGTATTTTTCGTTTTCCTTGGTCTCATTTATAGAATGGGGAAAACAATTATAGAAAAGAGGTGATTTTGATTCGTTTTAATGAAAAGAACCTGGAAATGGAGCTCAAAGTAGGGGAAATGTTTAATTTTTGCTGATGTTCAAAAGTAAACAAATAAATGTCCAAGTAGCCATTTTAATATGCAGTCAGGAATGGGTTGACATTATTTATACGATTATTACAATATTGCAGTAGTCTGCATAACAGTAAATCTTCTATTTTTTGTTTGAATAAAAATTCAAAATAGAAAGCAACAGTAATATCAGAGGGGCATGGAGACGTGACTGATGAACAAAGAAAATGTTATGTTAGAGCCAGGAATGTCTGCATTGTTCATTCTGGACCGTTTTGAAATTGTCATATTTTTTAATTTTCGTGAAATTGGCCAAATTGCAAATTTCTGACCACGTTATTGGGTAGTTGAAATCGGTAAATGGGCAATTTCTTGTACTCAATCAATAGAAAAAATGGAGTTCTAAAGAAATAGCTATGAGTTTGGTCGACTGAAACAATGGAATTAGCTGAAAATAG